TTTAAGAAAATAATTGAGATAATAAGGATTTCAGAACTTTTAAAAAATAGTTATAACCCTCTCTGGTTAGGATCTAGTAAAACTTTTCTGTATTGTGAATAAGATTAGCTGGCGTGTCTACAACAGGACTTGTAACTCTATCAGAGTTGAAACCTTACTAAATATTGTTGATGTTCAAAGAGCTGCCATGAAGTGATTGTACTTTTAGAAACTGTGGGGTTTTTTTATTAAATTTGGACTTGGCAATAACTAATTATTTAAGTATTGCAAACTGCTTGGGGCCAGGCTTTTCTTAGCCTTTCTTGATTCACACCTGGATATTGTGTTCTGATAGAAATCAAAACAGAAGGTATGTTGTCTTTCATTCCAGATACCATACTTAGCATATGCATGGAACTTTGCCTTGTGTTTTACAAAAAAACTATAATGTAATAATTGAAAAACTATTTTGGTTTGTGTGAGTCCTATGTGAAAACTTTGAACTCTTCACTGAAATTCCATGTTGTTTTGGTGTTTGTTGTTTATAGTGATTTAACAGAACTATAACCCTCAATGAAATCTGTATTTGTGCATACTTGGATGCATTCCCACCAAGTTTTCCCTTGTTTTTCTCCTGATCAGTGGGCTAGTCTCCTTGGGGATGATCACACCCATTTGCCACTGTGATTCCAGAGTAATGCCTTGAAATTTGTTGTGGCTTTTGAGCACCTTAGGTCTCAGTACATTTATCTGCTGAGTGTTGAACCAAGCTGTAGGTGTTTTCTCATCCTGTACTGAAGAGACAGCTTGGCATTTTGCTGGGCTTCACAAAGCATTTTCAAGTGTGATGTGATTCAGCTGTACCACAGCTGATCACTAGAGCTATGCTGTGTATGTTATGTTTTCTTCCCAAACTGAGATTCAAACCAATAGGGACTCAATTTCTATGGAAAGAGCTGTCATAAAGTCAATTCTGTAGCTCGTTGTAGTCTGTAAATTAGGTAGAATAGATGGTGAAAAGCAGGATTTTTTCTGTTTGTTGTCCCTTTGCTCTCACTGCCTAACTGCTGCTGTTGATTAAGTTTAATCCCAAAACACATAAAAATTAAAAGATTTTGCATTTTTATAAGCCTTCTGAAGAACAGCTTTTTCCCCCCAGTTCTGTGGTGAACATAAGTTGCTATTCACAGTGGGGTAAATGCCTGAAGCAAGGGAAACAATGATTTGTAAGCTGTAAATCTGACCGCAGCGTTTATGACAGCCATAGGCTGTTTTGGATATACGCTGAGAGAAAATGTAAAAAAACCACATTTGTTTTCATACAGTTATACAATAATCTGTACAGACTATAGGAGAGAAAGATTGAGTCTTTTGAGTATTAAGAGATTTGAAGGCTAAAAGTTAATTTACGATATTATTCTTTTTTAATCTAAGTAAGAATAAAGGTGAAACAGCTAGGAGGTGAACAGGAAAACAACAAAAAAAAAACCCAAACCACCTTTTAATATGCTATCAACTAGACAAAATAGATGCCTTAGGGGTGAAAGCCACAGCTGTACTGTCCCGTAGACTTCTGTTTCCTCTAAAACAGCTGGAACAGTAAATTTTGCTCTCTGATTTAGTATGAACATTCAAGGTGATTTTGAAGCATTTTCTTTTTGGAATTTGCAATTAAACGAAGCACCACAAGTGGTCACCATGCTGTCACAGGTAAAGAAATGGGTGAGAGAATAGTCACAAAAAATAACTTTGACCTATTCACAGTCAAAGCTATGAAAATTGTTTCAGTACTCTTCAGTTCGGAGAAGGAATGTTTTAGAAAGCCAGTCTCATGTGTTAGGGTGATTAACCTATATTGATTCCCTAAAAATAAGTAGTCTGGTAGTAACTGACTCGACTTCTTTTCTACTGTTTGTCTTTCAGTGATGAAGACTAAGGCCTTTTCTCACTTTCTCTTTTATTTCACTTTTCTACTTTAATATTTTTACTTAGATGTTATCAGCTGATGTCTGTTATCTTCCTATTTTAGCACCTTTCAGTGATTTATTACAAGCATAGTAATAAAATAGTAAGTATTCAAACAATTACAGTCTTGTAGTAGACGTAGTAGTTTGAGATATAAACTACATGTGAATTTATTCCAGTGTGAAGAAATAGATAGGACCATGATCCTTATTGGTCATGGTCTAATGCTTTTCACTAAGGCTGTTGAAATACTAGAGTCAGTAATCTCAGTAATTTAAGCAACTGCAAATGATTGAGAAAATGTCCTTCCACATAGTTTTTATCTCTCTCTCTAACCCTAACACTGTCACGCTCTCAAGCACACACACACACGTGTACGTGAGAGGGAGGGGTGCAATGAATGTTGCTGGTAATGTTACTGTTAGGATTGCTAACAGCTCTTCTTGCCTTTTCACTAATTAGGATGAACCCAGGGAATAAAATTTTTTCATACTCTTATCTGTATCACCTGCAAATGTACTTTCATGCTATTTATTTTAGTAAGAAAGAATAACAACACACAGAATGGTAATACTCTATCTTAAAAAGTCCTAAAAATATTTTTAAAAAAAATTGTTTGGTCCCTTCTTGGTCTTTAGAGAGGCCAAGGTACCTATTTTGTTTACGCTGTAAAGAAAAAGGATAAGGAAGAATCTATTTGCAGTCTTGTTACTACATAATATCTTATAGAGAAGGTGGAGCTGACTCAGACAAACACAGAGAAAGGGCAGAAAGCAGGAGGATGACAATTGAACCTTCTGCGATTCTATGAAATCTCTCAAAATAAAAATTGTAGCATTAAGGAATCCCCTTGTACTGTGTTTTGACTTTCTCTAAATCCTTACTTTGTAACACAGACTTACGAAAAAGCTTTTGTGAGCTTTTTGATGTTTGGGGAGAAGTTGATAGAGTGCATCATTTGAAGTTAGTGGCATGAAGACTGGGTCACATGTGGAAAAAGTCACTAATTATTCAGGTCCACCAGGAAGCCCCTGGAAGAAGGCAACTTTGGTGTTTTAAAATGGCAAAAAGGTCTCAAGGAAGTTTAAGGACTTGAAAAACATTAAAAAATGCTTTAAAGTGTTACTTTATAATAGTAACTGTCTCTGGGAGTAATGATGTGAAGGCAGTAGAAGGTTGCTGTGGAAATATATGTCCAGGTAACTTACTTCTTTGTTATGAATTAATGTTAAAGTGTGCTACCTGGCTTGTAAAGATTTTTCATTTCCTCTTTTGCTGTAATTGAGAAAAAGGAAGAGGTTTTAGTTCCAAATGTATGTTTTCAGTATCTGGGCTCCTGGAAATTTTCAGTCTTTCCCATTTGTATTAGTTAACTTACTAAAAAGTAAATAAAAAGTATTGCCACGTTAATGTGGAGTCAGAACTTGGATGTATTAAAAATGGATCTCACTACACATGTAGTTAAATAAGCAGCTCAAGGAAAGAAGTGGATTTTGTTATTCCAGCCTTTCTAGATTTCCCAATTAATTGGTTGCCTTAATGAATGTTTTTACTTCCTCTGTGGTTTTTTCCCCTGTTTCTTCAAAACATATATTTGTCAATCCACAGAGAAAGGAAAATGTTAAATTCGATCAGATGCACAGTTTAATCCTAGTACTGGTCCAGTCATAATGTTACTAGAACATCCAGTGTCTGTGAGTATCTGTGTTTGTAACTAGAAAATTCATGGAGCTTCTGAGCAGTAAAATGTGATTAAATAATAAAGTAAATATGTAATAATATCTGTTTTTTAAACACATAAAACTGCTGTAGGCACTGCTCTAGTAAATTCAAACTTTGAGAAGATGAAGCTTTTCTGTCAGAAGTGATTGCCTTTTTTATGAATTCAATTTTAACTCTAATTACATCAGCAAATTGGGGCACAAGTATCTTATACAAGTGAAGAAATGAGTCTGAATTCTGTTTCCCCCCACCCCTTGTTTGAAGGGTTGAAATAGTGGAGATAAGGGTTACTGAGGTGTTGATGTCTTCCTATTGTTAACTTAATGTAGTAGTGTATGTATCTTGCCTTGAAACAAGTAACAGGAGAACTTGAGAGTCAATTAACTTGAAATTCAGTTTAAACAAATTCTGTTTTATTGAGATACCCACCTGTCTGTAACATTAAAACACACTTTTGTAGATCTTGAGGAATTTGAGTCCAAGATAATTATTTTGTATGGATACAGCTGAAAAATAAAACTGTATCAGTAGCTAGTAAAACATAAATCAGTACAGTAAAGGACTTTACTGATTCTCCTTCCCCTCCTGTGTGCCTTTTCCTGCCTTACCCCACATATTTACAGCTGTTTCATCATGTGCTTTCTCCTATAACCTAAAATAGTATACATACAAACTTGATGAGGATCAACATTTCTGCTTAGTGATGAGTTTCAAATGAAGTATTAAAATCCTTTTTTTTTTTTTTCGTGGTGAAGCATAATGGTGTCAAAGCAGCAAGATATCTTTGCTCAAGCCTGTCTCAGAGATTCCATGTCACACTTGCAAAAATGATTGAGGTACAGAGGGACAAGGATGGGAAAAGCAGAAACTAGTACAATATCGTGTTTGCATCAGGGGAAAGGAAGTCATCTCAGTGTTGTGATCTGCAGTGGAGTTTGCATATTCCTTAATGTTTCTTAAAAAAAAAAATAAAAATTGTTTCTTTGCTGTTGGAAGGGTACTGGTGTTTACAAGAGTTCCTGCAGCTACTCGGTGCTTTGTACCTGTATTTACTGTGCTCTGTATCTGTATCAGGTTTCAGTGACATCCTTCTTGTCGGCCCAGCTGTACTTCATAGTTGGACTGTCTGAGTTCACCCTCTGTTTAAGAGAAAAATAAATTTATAAAGGGATATAACACTAAGGAAATCAACCTCCTGGTGAGAATAGTGCCATACTAAATCTATATCTTAACATCTGTCCATGCATGACTTTTGAATTTATGTGGATATTTGTAGCTGTAAAGCCACTGACGAAAAACATGACTCACCTGTGCAATGTTATTTTGTTTTACAGGAAAAGGCTCAGTGCTTTCAGAAGGCTCTTCCTTCCCAAGCAGATAAATCCACGCAGACAGAACTCGTATGCCATGATGTAAGTAGCTGTATTAAACAGTATTTTTTTTTATCATCTTTGTGGGTTTTCTGTCAGCTGGTTTGCCTCTGCTGCTGTTGTGTCCGTACATTGATTTGGTGATACTAAAATACCTTAGGAAACATGCGAAGATAATTACAACTACCTGCCATCGCACTAATGCCCTGCTAATTTTAGGCTTTACAAAGAGCTGAGAAATAGCATAAATGAATGTGGAGGGTATCTATTAGTGGATTGTAATTTTTTTTTCAGTATTCATTTGCACACTTACTGACACTTTAATTAGGTTATTATGTTTATAATCGCCGTGTGCTGTCCCAACAAGATTTGAATTTTGGAAGATAATGGAGTAAGTACAATTTTGCCAAGTGATCTTAAAATTCTATTTCCTGAAGAGCATCTCTCAGAATTTCTCCTAGAATGTGAATTCATAGTATGTATCCTCATGCAAGAAGGTAGTCAAGGAATATTCCTTAATTGTAGAAATATTTTTTCCCCCAGTTTTTCTAACTACAAGTATTTTTTCTGTGTGATGTTGCTTAAATATATGCAAGAGATTCACTTCTTTACGTGAGCCTCTTGAATAATCTTTGATTAAGAATGCCACTATGTGGAATATTTAGCACAGTTCTATTCTGTGATTTGAGCAGTCTAACAGTAATTCTTGCCAAAAACTGTTCTGCAAAATAAGGCTATGGCTGTGCATTGGTATATGTCAACGTGCTGATTCAAATTTATTAAGAGAATGATGGAATTAAAGCAGGTTTTGTAACTTTCCTCTCAGTATGTTTTGTATCAGTGGAGCATTAAAGTTTTGTCTTCTGAGTCTTTGCATAGTTTTCTTAAAATAGAAACATAAAAGTTTCATGTTCTAATCTGAAAAGTTGTTGAACCAAAGTGTTTTTTTTTCAGACTCTTTTAAGCTGATTCAAACCAGGAGTGCTAACATTTCTTTTTAAATTAAATACATTGAACAAAACCGTAGTTATAATTATTCTCCTTATATCTATTGCTCAACAACTGTGGTTTGTTAGATGGGTTTTTTTGAGTATTTTCTTATTTGGGGCAAATAGATCAGTACTTTACTCAATGTACCCATATGCACTGATTTCGTGGTTTTGGTTTGCTGAATATGAACCCTTTACTGAAATTCTGAGGTGTGTATATATTACTGGTGAAAATGACATAATATTCAAAAATAATTGAAAACATTTTCGTGTGTTGCAATTATATATCCATTTCTTCTGTGAGTAATTATCCTTAACAACTGCTTTCTTATATCTTGGATGTCAAATAAAAGCTTCCACTAAAAATGTTAAAAAGCAATATGTAAGATTTGGGGGGGTTTTGTGTTGGTTTGTTTGGGTTTGGTTTGGTTTGTTTTTTTAACAGGTATGACTTAAGCATTTGATTGTTCTCTCCCAAATCAAATATGTGGTACTCATACTGGAGAGATTCCTGCTGTTAGCAGATTGTATCTTTTTTCCCTTTTTCCAGTCTGTGTTCTCTTGGAGTCTGAGAGAGGAGGTGTCCTATCAGTAAAATAAAAAATAAAATTAGAACTCCCTCTCCCAAACAGGTACAGGTTTCTGGCTGAGATCTGAGTATTAAACATAATAATAACAACAGTAAGTCAAGTAAATCCTTTTCTTTAGCAGCGTCCTCTTCAACATTAGCAGAATGCATTTTTTAAACTTTCCTGGTTAAAATGTCTCTTACTTTGTCATGGTTGCAATAATATATTTTTTTTAAATAGGCTGTTGCAATGCAAGAACAAAAGGAAATGTGGAATGTTTTTCTATGGAATAACGCCTCACCTGTATTTATCTGGTACAGAGTATTTGTGCAAATTCCATTTCAGGGAATTGATTGCAGAGAAATTTGAATTAATATGCAGGAATAAGACAACCCTGCTATCATCACCGTGAAGGGAATTGAGTGAAGAAGGATGTGCAAATAAATAGTATAAACACTTTTTGTAATATTGTTAAAACTTTTTACTCTTTTATTTTTTGGATTGTGCAGCTTTTCTTCAGAGAATAGCTATTAATGATCGGTTCAACTGTGTTTCTGTGGAAACTAAGAGGCAATTACGTTTGTATTCTTTGCTTTTGTATGAGATTTTAAAGATCAAGTTGTAACTGTGGCAAGTAGTATCTGTTCATCATTTTATTCAGGATGTCAGTAAATGTGTATAACTACAAGAACATTGTGCTATTATGAAATAAGATTCAATAGAAAAACATAAAACAGACCAGAGAATACAAGATATATTTTTCACTCCATTAGTCGCACATTCTGAGAAGAGTATACATTGAATACTTAAGATCTAGTTTAAGAGGTAAGCAGAAAATTTAAGTTCATTTCATCATCGTTACAGAGTTGCTGCTTTAATTAAAAAACAAAAAAAAAAACAACAAAAAACAACCAACCAAAAAAATAACCCTCATGTTTTTTATTTTTCCTTAATTCAACTTTAGAAGTGAATAGTAGTTAGGAATTTGCGTAGCGTTATTTCATACATGTGGTACTAATGTTGATATACACTTCATAGTATAATATTTCAGAAATGCTTAAGATAGTGCCATTGTGAATGGCTTGTTTTATATTCTCGTATATTTGTTCGTTTCATTGTATAATCTTAAAAGTTGCATATTTTGCATTGCAAAAAACTGAGACAGGTTAGCCCCAAAATAAAGCAATGCTTGGGGTTTTTTGACTTCTGGACAATGTCTCCAGTAGTTAAGAGACTATTCTTTAGCCTTGGAATTCATTTAGATGTGTCATTAAAAGTAAATGGAAGTTCTGACTTTGACTTAGATGAGGAATTAATCCTTTTGTCCATAGGGTGTACAGTAATGAAATAAAGCTGGAGGCTAATCTATATTTAAGAAGGAATGGGTGAAGAAATGAGGAAGTGCAGTGTTTCAAAGGGAAGAAATGTTCTTGTTTCTGTGGAGCTGCTCTGATGAAACTTAAACAGTATTAAGTGAATGTTTATGTGTTTGAGAGGTGATGGAATTTAATATATTGTATTTTATGTTAGCAGCTATAACATAATTACAGTCAGATTCTGGCTATCAAGATGGTCAGTAATGTTTGGATCATGCAATCTGCAATACCTTTAAATTGCTGGATAATACTTCTGATAGATTTCTCTGTTTTTTTCCCATACAGCACACTGAGATTTTTCAACTGAAATTGCTTTACAGTACTGTATTAGTAAGCAAGTGGAAGATAAAGTCTGTAGCAGTAAAGATAATGTTTCTCATAAAGAACTGTTTGAACTGGAAAGCACACTGTTTAATGTTTTTTCTGTATTAAAATGATCTAATAGAAACTTAATTATGGAATTAAAACATAAAGTTTAAAATTATTTTTTATAAGGATGAAAGAGGTCTTCCATGATGAGAAATGCTACTGTGTTCTTAAGTAATTAACATGACCACTTTGCTGCTTGAGTAGATTGAAAGTAAAATACCAAACCAACTACCCTATGTATTCAATGGAAGACATTAGAAAGTAATCAGGGTTTCTTAGAAGGCTTTGTACTGCAGAATGTGAAGGGATCTTCATCTTGTGATAGTCCTAAATTTATTCTGTTTTCCAATATGTGTACTGAGAATCATTTAAAACACACTAGGAGTCTTGCATAAAGAGCTATGTGCACAACAGATTGATGTCAAGGCTGCTAAATAATAAATTATTAATGTGTCTTCAATAATCAATGCTAGTTTAACCTCCTTCACCTTTCTGTGCTTGCAGAGTCTTATTTTATTGAGAGATCAAGGCATAATTTCTTCCATGTCAGTCAGGTTGCTGGAATGGACTGAAAGATGAATAGATACAGTCAACTAGCATTGGGACTGATTACAAGATCATGTTAAGGGATACAACTCTAATAATGGCTTCTAGCTGAATAAGTAGTCCAAAGTATCATGCAGGCATCACACAAGCACATTGTAGCATGTGCCACTGCTAATGCATTTTCATTAAAATGTGTCTCAGAAGCGGCATTAAACAATCACAGTACACTTCTCATTTCTGTTACCAAAAGAAGTCCAACTCAGCACCACTTTGTCAGTTTTTATCAGTCTTCAGATGGAAAAGTTTGTACTTAATTTTATTCTCCACAGAGTAGAAATTCTGAAGAACTGACATGATTTCTGCAGAGTCTTTTCTGTGCTTGCCTTGTGCTGTTATTACAGCTTTCACATCTGAGAACTCTTTGTTCTTTGTCTTTCATACTGAGAGTAAAGCTGATGTAAACAGGTTTTGGACTGGTCCTAAACTCATTCCATATTTAATGAGAGTTTTTTCCAGTTTAGTGATCCCTACGTTTTGTATGATGCTTCTAAAGTCTTAGACAACAGACTTGTGTGGCATTGCTCGCAATCTGCTACAGTTTGATTTGCATTGCTACAGACAAAAATTACCTTTCCTTGGTGATCACCAGCATTGTGTTTGTAACAGTGCTCTGTGATATACCAGAAGGCACTGACTTTTATCACCTGCACAATCATGCAGTATTAAAATCCATACTGATACATATTTTAGGGTAATTGTTCTGTAGCTTGCTGTGAATTGCCTTGGACATTGTGCCTCCCTTACCCTCTTAAAGCCTGGGTACTACTTTTTCCAGAGCCTCTGAGTTTCACTGGGAGGGAGTGGAAGATATGGAGGTGGATGCTCTAACTGTTCCCCTCCACCTCCCTTCTATGCTCCTTATCCTCCCTGTCAGCCAGCCAGCATAGCTTATGGATGCTGTGAAGGGACTGTGTTGCATTGTCCTCTACTTTAGGAGGGCAGGGGAATAGAATACTGAAGTACTTGAACTTCTTGAACTTTCAAGTTTAATCTAAATACTTTCCTGCCCACAGTACTGCGTAGTTTGTTGCAGTGTGAAATGAGTTGTATTTTGCCACTTAAACTAGAAAATGCATCCTGCTTCTGCTTCCCCTCCTCGTCTTGGAGACTGATGTCCATCTGCTATTGCATCT